TAGTACTTGAGGTGGGAGTTGGACTATTAAAGTGAAGGAAGTTATTACCCATTGGGGGAAGCAAAAGAAAGGGAGAGGTACCAAGTCAACTGATATCGATTGCTTCAGCTACAAAGTTTCCAGGAACACCCTGGCCCAGTAAGATTTGGAAAGCAATCATGGAAAGACCTTTTACAAAAGAAACTGATGATGTTTTCCAGTTGGGAAATGCATACTAGGTAAACAACCAAGAATTCCCAAGGCCAAGTAGTCTATTTTCCCAGGTAGGGACAATAATAATTTATTAAATCTATAGGCTGCTTGATTCCCAGTTACTCTGAGGGTTATTTGGGAAATAACCCAGGTTATTTGAAACCTGCAATTACGGTCATAAGTTATGAAAGTCATTAAGTGGGTCACAACATGACTAGATCTGATTTTTACAACTCTTTTTGTAGCAGGTTTGAACACAATCATTAAGCAAACACAGTGGTTAAGTGAACACCGTGGTTGTTAAGCGAATCCATTGTGCACTATGGGGTGCTATTTGCCAGAAGCCAGAAGTAAATGCTGATTCCTGGCAAAAACAGTGTAAACTGTGGTCACGTGACCAGAGGATGCTGCAAATGCTGATAAATGACTGATCATAAGCAATTAGTCATAAGATGAGGACTCCTGGTATAATAAGGATACACAAAGGACTAGAGACTATCATTAGAATAATTGCCACAAAACAATCTTTCTTTTGCAAATGATCATAGTGTTAGGCACTGAGAGATGTATGATTTAGATAAAGTTTACTGAGTTGATCTTGGCTTTATTTCAAACAGCTAAGCAGCGTTAGGCCTGATGACTATTTGATGGGAAATTTCCAGGCAGTCCTAGGAGGTAGCATCATTAATAGTGCTATGGTGATAAGTAAATACCCACAGGGAAAAATACACAGAAGAATGATTCTGATCTGATGAATTGGCATTCTTTAATTGTCATACTTCACTTTATAATATTGAATCAAAGGTTATTGGAGAAGGCAATCACTTTCAAATAAGTTTTTTTTTAAGAATTACAGCTGACTATTTTCTATCTATTAAAACAGAACCACCCTTAGCCTGATTTTGATTGCTGACTTCTTAATTGCCATAAATCAAATGGTGAAGTTTTGTTCCAATATTGTTGGAATTTCATAATGATACTCCTTTGAATGAATGTTTTCTAGTTTCCTTTATGTTTGTGTATGTGTGTGTGTGTGCGTGTGTGTTTCTGATTCCTAGTGACTATCTGGGCTACTCCCTGCTCCTTTGGCAAGGTTTTTCAGAACTGGTTTGCCATTGCCTTCTTCCTAGGGCTGAAATAGTCTGGCCCAAAATCATCCAGCTGACTTTGTACCTAAGGTGGGACTGGGACTCTCAGTCTCCCACTTTCTAGCCTAATGTCTTATGAACTAAGCCAAAGTAGTTGTTCTTTACATGCATTAAAAACTGATTTGGAAAAATCATAGTGTAGTTTTAACTGCCTGGACAACTTTATCTCCTGATTTTCTTCTAAATGTAAACGCCAACATTTTGGCAAAGCTTTCTTTGTCCAACCTCTGCAGTCTAGTTTTAAAAAGTGAAACCAGCTTTTAATAATGATAGAATTTTGTTGTTGTTAATTGCGAAGTCATGTCCGACCCATCGCGACCCCATGGATAACGTTCCTCCAGGTCTTCCTGTCCTCTACCATTTTCTGGAGTCCATTTAAGTTCACACCTACTGCTTCAGTGACTCCATCCAGCCATCTCATTCTCTGTCGTCCCCTTCTTCTATTGCCCTCAATCTTTCCCAGCATTAGGCCCTTCTCCAGTGAGTCCTTCCTTCTCATTAGGTGGCCAAAGTATTTGAGTTTCAACTTCAGGATCTGGCCTTCTAAAGAGCAGTCGGGGTTGATCTCTAATTTTGAGACTCTTTCAGAAAAAAAATAAATTTATCAGTGGCCTTCTTAAATACATTGAAAATTTCTGGAACATGTTTCTGAACCAAATATAGAGATCTTTCTATTTTTGTCAATTGGATTAAAACATATTATTCTAATCCTTCAACCAAGATAATTTATTCACCAATTAAGATGTCTCATGGAATTTATCAAGGAAATCCTTAATCTCCTCTTACGTTTAATATGCTTATGTTAGGGAGCCAGTTTGGTCTAGGACAGACATGTCAAACACAAGGTCCGGGGGCCGGATGCGGCCCACAAAGTAGTTTCATGTGGCCTGCAAAGCCATCCTGGAAACAGTGAGGGAACGGCCCCCGCTGCCTTGGCCTGGCCCAGGCCAGCCAGGAGCCAATGTACAATTTTGTGGTGGCCATCTATGCTGAAATGCACTCAGTCTTAGCTCCACAAGGCCATCTGGAAACAGCGAGGAACCAGCCCCTGCAGTGTCGGCCCACCTCCTGAGTGCATGCTGGGGAGGTGTCACCCTTTATGAGGAATCAAGAAATGCACCATCGTCTGGAAGTGGCCAGCAAACGGCCCTCGCCTACTTCACATATCCGGCTTGATAGGCTCTGCCCTGGTCCCACCCCTTTCTGCCAGAGACCCTCAGATCTGTCCCACTCTGCCCAGGACCCCACAGGTACCCTTGACGTGAATGATGTAGAGCTGGCCACACCCACCCAGTAGGGCCTCCCCCCCACACACACACACATGAGGGCAACCGCAATCCTGATGTGGCCCTCAATGAAATTGAGTTTGACACCCTGGTCTAGGAGTTAAGATTGGAGTACTAGTTCTGCCTTAGGCATGAAAGCCAGCTGGGTGACTCTCTCTGTCAGCACAACCCACCTCACAGGGTTTTTATTGTGGGGAATATGTATTAGGTATGTTCTCTGACTTTAATTATTTATAAAAATATTAAAGGCAGAATATGTATAAACAAATAAATGTTCAATATAGCAGTGTTTATCAATGTTAAATTATGTTTAATTCAATATTGACTGGTTTTGTCTGATCAGACTATCAAAGCCCCCTTGAGCATAAACAAGGCTGAGGATTGTGGAGAAGAATTCCCCCTCTCACCATCCACAACCCGGGAGTACTCAGACAGAACGCAAACAACGATCAAGACCTCCCCCCACCCCCAGAACGGTTAGACATCTCCGAGCATCTGAAGGAGCGTCGGGAGACATAGGAGCACTAACGTGTGGACTAGGAATCTGCACGCACCCCCCAGGATACCCGGAGAGGAGAGCGTCGCCTGATAAGAGGTCCACATCTAAAATACCCTTGGCGGGGACACTGAATTGCCTGCCGTGTTTGGGAGAAGAAAGGGTAACTTCTCCAGCCCTACTGCCTGTAAGAACTCGATCACTCCATTCAGCAGCACCAACCCAAATGCGCCAACGGGAGATGTGGAATGAACCCGATGAAGATGCACGTGGGAGGAACACCGAGAGTGGAGGGGAGAGAGCAACGAAGACTGATACTCCTGATTGCCGTACAGAGAACATCCAGGGCGAGTTGGTTAAAACTAGGATGGAATGCACAAAGATCGGAGATAAGGAAAGGAGACACCTGGGAGCAACAACTACCAGATCGTACTCTAAAAGGGGAGAAACAGCCTCATTAGCATGTTTGGGGAATACGACCCGCCCACTCCACCTTGTAATGCCGATCCATCGTATCAACAGACAACACGGAAAAGCCCTCAAGGCGACACCGTGCAAGCAAGGAGTAAGGAGGAAACAAGGGGTGTGACAGTAATTAACTGGAATAACATCTGCGGAGACCATGACTGGGGAAAATACAAAGAAAATAAGAGACAGTGCGTTGCAACGGGGCAATCAGAACAGAGTGGGGAAAGGGGAGGAGGGAGGGGTGCAACTAAACAAAGTAGGTGTAGCAATAAAGCAGAAAAGGAGAGGGGGGATATTCTGTTAAACCCCGAATTTGGGAAAGAGAAAACACCTGATGACAGCTACACAAGCAAAAAATGCAGGAAAGCAATTATTGCTAATAAGAAACCAGCAACTGAGAAACAGCCTATTGCATCAGGCCCAATGACAAGATCTAGGAGCCGAGTGCAGACTCTGACCAATCTATAAAGAGGACTCTCCCACTGACCGGCATTTTGAGCCCTGATGATGTCAGCAGTTGCGGACGAAAGCTAAGCGTTTTATTGATTTTATTGTAATTTTATTGGTATTTTATTAAATTTTACTAAATTTTTAAGCATTCCCTGGTGCTCACATTTATTTGTTTGGTTTTAAATATGTGTGTGTGTGTGTGTGTGTGTGTGTGTGTGTGTGTGTGTGTGTGTGTATAGATTTGGAGGAATCCCCATATTGATTTATTGATTACGTGCCATCAATTTAATGGAAGGACAACCCATTACATTTTCTATATCTTAATTATAGCTAGAATACACTAAAAGGATTTCTTATCTTTATTGCTTTTATTTTTTCTGACCTCTATTTCTCTAAAGAATCCAAGCAATTAAGTTCAAAACCCACTATGGACACAATTAGAAATATATTGTATGATCTCTCTTGAATAACGTCAGAATTTAATCAAAATTGTTCTGTATTTTCTATATTAAAGTTTGCAAAGAATATTTGGAGGACATTGGAACAGAGGTACAATTTTGACCATTATCAATATACTAAATTTCCTTTTGGATAATCCCAATCTGAAAATTGAAGGGGGAGTTTGGAAGGAATTCATAAGGTATTAATAGTTCAGCCTTCCTCATCTGGGATTCTTCAGACCCAGAGATTTGGCAATAGATTGTGACAGAAAAAATACCGTAAATCTGATTTTTAAAAAACTTTATACATTGCACTATGCACCTGAGGGACATTTTTAAGTGTTAGCCTGTTGCTACGCTGGAGTTGTAAATCTTGTAAAACATGTATTATCTAGGTTAAAAATTAACTCTATTGTGATGTCTTTATATTTTTTATGATCTTTATGCAAGGGTTCCTCAAGACTTGAAATTTATTATAAGGGTTCCTCCAGAATAAAATGGTTGAGAAAGGTTCCTGTAGATCAGTGTTTTTCAACCTTGCCAACCTTTAAAATATGTAGACTTTAATTCTCAGAATTCCCCAGCCAGCTTGCTCAATCAAGTTTTTTGAACTATTTAGATTATTGCAAGAGGAATTTGGATGTGAAATGACAGGATGGTCAACTGAAACATCTTTTCATTTTACAATTAGATCCAGATGCATAAGCAGCATCTAAAATTCTTGGATAATTTTCAGAACTGATATGTTCCTTTCATGTGGGTTCCTCATGGGTGTAAATCCAAAAGAGTTGATTTCCTTGTTCCTTGTTTTATGTATAATAAGAATGGGAGGAGAGGATAAAAGTGTAGGCGAGAAGGTTAGGGTATAAAAGCCTTCTCCAGTGCATTTTCTCGACACGTGAATCAAAGTGTTTTGAGCACTTTGCTTAGCATCAGTAACTTTTCTTCCAAGCATTGCCATCCACAGTCTTCAAGCCAATAAGATGAATGTCTTCTGTAAGTATCTTTTTGCCTAAGATGCACTAACTGAATTATGGTTTGAAGGAAATGTATTATTTAATATATTATGGCTCGAAGCAGTCGGGCGAATGTTTAGACTGGATTAGACATTTTTTATTAAAGGTTTATCGCATAGTCAGATGTTCAGATTGGATTTGGCATTTTTGTCCTCCTGTCAAGTCCTTCCCAAGGACCTGGGATAGGCAGACGTGGATGTTTTATGATGTTAGAGGTATTGTCACAGGATGTAAGCTGTTCCCTGTAAAGCTGCCTGTTGCAATTGACTGATGGTGAATTTATCAATTATTATTGTTATTCTTTGTTCACCACAATGTGAAGTCACAGATGTATTATTATTATTCCATGATTAGATTTCAAGATTTCATAACATTTCATCCTTTAAAATTAGTTGCCATTTAGGGAATTATTATCAATCATTGCTGTAATATAGATGATTGCTTATACTTGTGGTGAGGATAGGGAAGAAGAGAAACTGCGTAGTCCAATATAACTAAATCTTGATGAAATTAATTACTGAAAGCCAATTTTGATCAAGTGGTCAAGTTCAAATTAATGAGATGGGTGATAGCCAATTTGCCTTGATACATTTCTAATATTTGTAGTAAATGAAAAGAGCATACTAAGAATTAGTAAGTTAAATTTGTCACAACGCAAGTTCATAAAAGGTACATACGTCCTGACTTAACCACCATTTGTTCAGTAACTGTTTGAAATGATGAAGGTGATGGATAAAGGGAGTTATGACCCATGCTGCCTAGAACTACGTAGAACTAAGGAGAAATTTCCTGATAGAACAATAAATCAGTGGAACGACGTGCTCCTAGAAGTTGTGGGTGCTCCAACACTGAAGGTTTTTAAGAAGAGGTTAAGCAACCATTTGTCTGAAATGTTATAGGGTTTCCTGCTTGAACAGAAAGTTGGACTAGAAGATCTCCAAGTCCCTTCCAATTCCGTTATTCTGCTCAGAGTTACGGTGTTGTAGCAACCCTGCAATCTTGTGATAAAAATAGGGCCCTTGAAGGTAGGCAGCGTGGAGCGGAGGCAATTATTAAGGTGACCAACTTTTTTACAATGAAAAGGAGGACACAAATAAATTGAAGGAAAAAAAATATCGTAAATAAAAGAAGCATTTTATTCATTGCAACAATAATACAGAATACACTATAATATGATAAATGCATAATAAAAAACATTTGTAACAATAACATTTTATATTGTAATTATGCCACACCCCCGCCTGCAGCCGTCCCGCCAGCACTGCTGCCCCACCATGTAGAGCGGGCCCCACGGCTCCCAAAGCACCAGCTGCGCCAGCTCCGGCCCCAGGGGGAGCCCACCATTGACACACCCCTCCTGCAGCCGCCCCGCCAGCACCACCGCCCCCCCTGCACATCCCCATGTAGAGCAGGCCCCACAGCTCCCACAGCACGGGGGACAGCCGACCACTGCTGTCCCTCACACCCCCACCCCGCAGCAGCCCCGCCACCCCTGCCTCTTGCGCCCGCAGCCATTATTGCCTTAGCAGGGCCGAAGATCAAGAGAAAGTTACCGTGGCATTGCCGCTCCAGTCTCCTCCAGGTATCTTTGGGACTAACTAGGAGATGATGTAGTTGGGTAGCAGGGAGGGGTGCAAAGTTCCTGCCAATTTGCCTTCGCTGCAGACAACTTACATGTGCAAAGTTTGCTGGCCAGGTGTTTTGGCGTGCTCAGCAGCAATTCCTATTGGCTTTCGAAAGCCAATAGGGGGAGTAGCACAGCTCATGCAGAAGTTGAAAAAAAAATTTAAAAAAAGGTGCTGGAATGCCGTTCCGAGCGTTCTATGAGAAAAAAAAAAGCCCTGCAGATTAGTCTTCAAATATCGAAAAGGAGGACATGTAGGAGGACATTTTTCGAAGGAGGACAGAAGTCACAAAAGGAGGACAGTCCTCCCTAAAGGAGGACGGTTGGTCACCTTAGCAATTATGCCATTCTCCATAAGCCTTTCAAAACTATGTGATTGCCCCCACTGCCCAGTACTCCCCAAGATCTGCTGGGCATTGCTTACCTCCAGGCAGTTTTCTCCTGCTGTTGAGATGCCCATGCAGTCTATCTGATGCTTTAGAAGACTTTCAAAGTCCTGTTGGAATTGGCTCCAAGGCGGATTTGGGAAAGAAGGCTTGGTGCAACCAGGAGCTGCATTGGATAGGCCACGTGGGCCTCTCAACAGCAGGAGAAAAGCACCTGAAGGTAAACTATGCGGAGCAGATTCTTAGGAGTGATGGGTGATGGGGCCAATCACACTATTCCCCAAGGGTCAAAGGCCTTGGAGAACAATGTGAGCTGGCATTCCTGAGTGGCAATGGTGATGCTAGGACTAATGTTGAGGCCTGGGTAGTGGCAGCAGGCTGAGACTGCAGCAGGCCCTAAAGCCAAGGACTTTTCTGCTGGGTGGCCTACATAGGAGAAACATAGGCAGATATGTGGAATTGGGCAGCGCTCCTTAGAGGCAATGGTGGTGCTAGAGCTGAAATCGAGGCCTGGGTGATGGCAGCTGAGTGAGACAGCCGAAGACCCCAGGCCCCTACTTCAGGCCTAGGCCCAGTGCTTCCACCAACAAGAACTGCATTGCAGAGCCAGGCTGGGGCAGCTGAAGCTTTGTACCACACTGCAGCACCTTTCCAGTTCATGCATGGTCTGCGCTGGGCCTCCCAGGGACTGGCCCACCCCTGAGGCACCCTGCGCAACCGCTTGCATGCTCGCTTACAAATGCTAGGAATGCAATTATTGAGCAAAGCAGTTGCCTGGGTGTCTCACTTAATGACCGCAACAACTCACAACTGCGGTTCCAATCTCAGTTGTGGTTGTAAATTGAGGACTACCAGTAAACAATTAGAAAGCCAATGACCAATTAACCAGGCATTCTTTGATGAGCATCAACTGAACAAGGGAGTCTTTAAAAGTAAAATGGCTTAGCAACCTGTTCACAAATTACATTTCAGACAATTAAATCAAATTTTTAGAGTAGTGCTTCAAGCTGAGCTAGAAAAACAATCAACAGAGAAAACATGTAGTCATCTGCACAACGTTGTACCAGCTGTTTTCAGATTCTCTTTCCCACATTTCTACTTTTATGCTGAAGAATCAAACCAGTCTTGCAGGAAGTCTTTTAATGCCCCCATAGCTTTACAGTTCTGTTTGTAGAGTAAAATACAGCTTAAAGGATGTTATTTATTTATTTTTATTCATTCATAGTCGTTTGAGGTCATTCATAGCCATTGGCATATCCATCCTCCAGTTTGGTCATGTATCTATTCCAGGATTTCTCAAGCTTGGCAACTTTAAGAAGTGTGGACGTCAACTCCCAGCATTCCCCAGCCAGCATGGAGTTCTGTGGTTGAAGTCCACACGTCTTAAAGTTGCTAAGTTAAAAAACTAGCTTATTCTGTTAAGTAGATTATTCAGTGAAAGACAGCATGGCCTAAAACAGGGGTGTCAAAGTGCCAGCCCGCGAGCCAGATGCGTCATGCCAAAACCACCCCACCCCATTGCCGGTAATGGGGAAAAAGTCGCAATACGTCTCGACAAGTCACATGACGTTGCGATTTTGTCACCCCTGGCCTAAAGCATCCATTAAGCTTCATGACTGGATGGCTATTAACCTCTAAGGGACAGCCACTTAAGTGTGAATTCTGCTTTTTTTTATTTCTTTTCTCTTTCTTTTTCTTTTTTCCTCATCCTCATTCTCAGCCTTTTGCCTATTCTTTGTGGCCAAAATCTGGAATCAAGCTATCCCTGCAGATCCTTTTCAAACATTGAATTGAAGTAAGATCTTATTTTAAATGGGATTTTTAAAGGTGGGTTTTTTTGTATCCAATTTGCCTTCCTGTAGGTTGAATCTCCAATTCTATTAATTAATTTTTATTTATGAATGTAGAAACTGGTTCAGTAAGGCAATTCTAATTGTTATGCAAAAGCAACTCTCAATGCAACAAAAGCGCAGTAAACTACTAATAAATATGATACAGAATTACAATTAAGCATGACTTAATTAATATGATCCCAGAAGCTGAGCAGACTTCAAATTCTAAAGACCTTTATCTTTTAGTTACATTCTGAGAATGTTTCTGTGCTTTGTCGAGGGACACTTTATCCAGACACGGGTGATTCCCATGGGTGCCCTTGGCTTTAGCATGTGTATCTCACAGGAGTTAATTTGATGATTAAAGTCAACAATCAGGAAAAGGATTTAGACAGCAGAACACGAGGAAACAGGGTGGGGAATGCAGTTTTAGAATTACAGACTATAAAAATTCTAAGTTGAAAAAAACCAGAAGTCATAAATATTCTTTAAAGAAATATCTTCCTCCGGGCTTTTGAAGTAACTTCTCCAGGTCTGGCATATTCCAGGCGCCTCTAATTAAATTCTTTTAAGAAAGCAGTTGAGTTAATCGGCATCAGCAGCAAGAGGGAATAGTCATCATTTCAGTTCACAGTCAGGTCACAAGTGGGAGCCTGCGGCGATTTTCTGGCAAAATTCAAAATTTTCTTTACATTTGTAGGCAAACGCCATCTAACTTTGCTTATAAAGCGAGTATATGACTGAAGAAGCTGCTTGGATAAGCAGTGAATTATTTCCAACCAAAAAGAAAAGAGGTCTAGCTGTTGTGATTCAACTTCCAAACTTAAAAAGTGAGATTTATTTAAAAAAAAAATGCAGAAAGCAATTCATCTCATGGAGAAGAAGAGATGGGATAATTCCCAGAACAACCATGGAGAAGAAATATAGTTATTTTTTTAACTTGGAAAATTTTGATAGAATTACCATGAACATAGAAGGAAACATTTCCAAGGAAACAGTGTGCATTCCACATTGGGATGCTTTGGAAAAACATTTGGAGCCATCAACAGGTCCAAAAGCTGCACCTCTATTTGTGATCTCAAGCTATATGTAGCAGACCTTTAAGAATCACATTAAGAGCGTGCTACTTTAAAGCAGAGCCTTCTTCTTTACACCCAGCAATAGACTGAAAAAGTAAAGTATAATTTAAGCAAGAGCCTAGCATATTTTAAGCCCAGAAGTAGCTAGAGGAGCCCTTTGGGATGCATGTATGTATATATAAAATGAATAATCTCATCCAGATAAAGATCAGCTTTCCAACTATAGCATGTTGACCAAAGACACTAAAGATCCTCATATCCAATGCTCAGTGCCCTGAGCAATTTCCAGGTAGAAAATGACTCTGTCTCCATTCCTTTAGATAGATCAAGGGGGAGGGGTACTCAGGAACTCTGAGGGCCTTATTGTTGCTACATCCCAGCATCCCAAATCAATGCCCCTCATTCAGCAATATTTGGAAGGCCATTGGTTCTCTTCTTCTATTTTAGGTACTGAGTCAGCAGCTTCTAATGGCATTCTTATTGCATTGTCTCACCTTTCCATGCCAGGCCAAGCCTAGCAGTACATTTGACCCTGTGTTTGTGTATTATGTGATATCAAGAATAAGGATATCACCAGATACTCATCATAATGGATAGATATTATCAGCCTCCGTGAAGCTTCAAAAAAAAAAAGGATTTGATTTCACCCCTTGGAATGGAGACTCCAGTAAGCCATAATCCTACAAGCTTTCAAAAAGGCAGACAAAACCTGGCTCTTTCCCCAGACTTTTCGGTCAGGATGAGCAGAATTTCCAATTTCCAGGAGCTATATAGATGGTCCTCAACTTATAAATGAAACTGAACTAGCAAATCTGGCCATAAGTCATGACAGTCATAAAATAGGTCACCACATGACTGAACCTAATTTTTGAGGTTTTTTTGCAGGAGCCATTAAGCAAATGCCATGGTCATTAAACAAACCCATTGTTTGCTATCAGGTGTCTTTTCCCAGAAACTGGAAATAAATGCCAGTTTCTGGGAAAAAATGTAAAGCACAGTCATGTGACCACATGACAGTGCAAATGATCCTAAATGCAGGCTGGTTGCCAAATGCCCAAAATGTGGGCATGTGGATGTTAAAACTTTGAATCCAAGTCACAAATCCCTTTTTCAGGGTCTATCATAACTTTGACAAGGACTATCTGTAATATATTTCAATTCTAATCAACATGTAATTGTTTCATTAGATTTTGATGTTGTGTGTTGTTTTCTTTTTTGTTTGCTGCTTGATACTTTTTGTACATCTCCCAGAATCTCAGCTCTGTCTGATATGACAGCCATGTATTTCAGTGCTTTAAATAAATGTAGTCTGAGGAATCACATCAAATCCAGATGCTTTTGAATCTTTTCTGAGAGATGTCAGCAAGTGTTCAGGGTAAGGAAAATTTTGGTGAACAGCTCAATGAAAATACCAGCCCAGCTGAACTGCATGTATGGGATTTGTTAGGAAAGGAACTGAAAATACAACTGCCTATATAATAATGCCATTGGCTAGATCTATGAAGAAAAAAAATGGCATATCATGTACAGGTTTGGCTAGCAACCCTTTAAAAGGTAGCATAGAGGTAGAAAATTGTCTACAAAATCAATTAATGTCAGTGCATGGGCAGTTTGAATGACAGTGTTGGAAGAGCATCGGGCTAGCCAAATATCCACTTGGTGAGAAATATTTGAAGAGAAAGATACTTTGAATGTTGTAATCTTTGCAAAAATCTGGGAATCAGGATTCTCCCACTAATCAACATTCAAGTATTATACACTAGATCCGTGGTGGCGGACCTATGGCACACGTGCCACAGGTGGCACGCAGACCCCTCTCTGTGGGCACACGCACCGTCGCCCTAGTCCTAGGCCTTCAGCTGGATTTTATAAAATGTTTTCACTTTAGGCTTTCGCCACCATGTGCAAAAAAAAAAAAGTTCAATCAATCAATCAATTTCAACTTGCACAAAAAAAAAAGATCACGCAAAGTTGGAATTTATTGATTGAACTTTTTAGCCCTACCCAAACTGCCATTACCATCACAGCCATGCCCACCCAATGGGCCACATCCACCCAATGGGCCACGCCCACCTGCCACCCAATGATACATAAGTGGGTTTTGGGTTGCAGTTTGGGCACTTGGTTTCTAAAAGGTTCGCCATCACTACACTAGATGGCACAACACCGTGAGACCTAGCCAACCAGAAAATCTCCAGATATAGCAGAATAATAGAGTTGGAAGGGACCTTAGAGGTCTTCTAATCCAACCCCCAGTTCAAGCAGGAACCCCTATGACATTTCAAGACAAACGATTGTCCAATCTCTTCTTAAAAACCTCCAGTTTTGGGAGCACACACAACTTTCAGAGGCAAGTTGTTCTGGAGGCAAGTTGTTAATTGTTCTATTAGGAAATGTCTCCTTAGTTCTAGGTTGGCTCTCTTCTTGATTAGCTTCTTGTTCTACGGTCAGATGCTTTGGAGAATATGTTGATCCCCTCTTCTTTGTGACAGCTCTTTAGACATTGGAACACTGCTATCATGTCACCCTTATTCCTTCTTTTCATTAAACTAGACATATCTAATTTCTGCAACCGTTCATCATATATTCTGGCTTCCACTCCCCTAATCATCTTTGTTGCTCTTTTCTGCACTCTTTCTAAAATCTCAACATCTTTTTTATATCATAGCAACCAAAACTGGATGCAATATTCCAAGGCATTATAAAGTGATATTAATATTTCACGTGATCTTGATTCTACCCCATTCAACCCATCCTGAAGGTACTAGGTGGCAGAAACCTGACATAGATCTATATACTTGGAGTTGTACTTTTTCTCTGCATTATTCCTTAACACTGCGGTAACATCCATGTCAACCTTCCTTAACCTGTTTCCTTCCTCCATAAGGATGATGGGAAATGCCTGGTCCTACAGCGTCTCAATGGATTTTGTTTCTGTAACAGAATTATTAACAAAATATTGTGTCTGAACACAAAGGGAAGTAATTTGGAAGCACGTTTTTCCTTACTGTCTCTTCTGTCTGCCAGTAAACCCCCCAAAAGATGACAGAGGTTCACATATGGAAGCATATTCTGTGAAGCACTAACATTTACTTGAGTATAATTTTCAGGCCAGATTAATTTCATTACAGGTATTATAACAGCTACTTGGAAGGATTATCTCAAAAAAGTAAGCAAGTAAGAATTTGAATAAGAGTCCACCAAGAAAATGCTTGGGACTGGGAAGCAAAACCTCTTCCAAGTGGCAACCCCTTTCCCACTGCTGCCAGGAAAAGAAGAGGGATGTTGAAATCAAAAGGAGTTAAGCTTGGGTTGAAGAGGACTTATTTGTGATGAGATCCTTTATGTGACCAGAGAAGCAGAAGGAAAGCCTCTTTGTCCATTTTTGGTCATTTTATTGCAGTTTAGATGTAGTGTAGGAGGCCTCAGTAACTCTGGTTAGAAGGTGGTTCAATGACACATATAAAAGAATGGAACAAATAAACAGAACCAGAGGCAACAAATCCAGAATAAGAAAAAACAGGAAAATGCCATCCTTATACATATTCCACTTTTGTATGTGTTTTATCCAGTTATGTTCTCACTGCTATTCTTGGCTGCCTTGGGAAGCTGTGCAGATGACAGAAACCCCATAAATGAATGCTTCCGAGAAACTGACTATGAAGAATTTCTAGAGATCGCCAGAAATGGTCTGAAAGCGACATCAAACCCAAAACATGTTGTGATTGTAGGTGCAGGAATGGCTGGGCTTAGTGCAGCCTATGTTCTTGCAGGGGCTGGACATCAGGTAAGCCACTGATTTTTGTCTATCAACAATTTGCTTGGACAACAACAGCACCGTTTAGCGAAAAGTCAAGTTGGCACCTACAATCATGCAGTTGAAGCCCCATCCTTTTTATGTCCATCATGATGCAAATAGAAAAGGACAGGTTTTCGCTGCACAGTTGTAGATGCCATCTTGACTTTTTTGGCCCCCAGTCCCATTGATGAGTGCCTCAGTGGAGAGAATATGTAGATGACATTGTATAGGCTGAGCAAGCCTTGGCATTTGCTCCCTCCATTCCATTCTTGTACCTAGCAGAATTTCTAACCCTTACCCTCACCTGCCTTCACAGATACTTCCTTGGGGTACAAGATCCTAGGAATCTGACAGCATCCACCCATTAAAAAAATGTATTCTGGACAGAGATATTAATCTAATTTGAAAAGCAGATCCTCACTTTTTTTGCACATGGCACCGGAGGTCTAAAGCGAAAAGGTTTTATAAAACCCAGCTGAAGGCCAAGGACTGGGGTGACGGCACATGTGCCCACAGAGAGGGCTCTGAGTGCCACCTCTGGCACCCGTCCCATAGGTTCACCACCACTGCTTTAGAGCAATCCAGTCTGTTTTTGTCACGAGCCTGAGCCTGGACCCCGGCTGAAAGGGAGCTAGATAATCCATTTTCTCTAGGATCCTATGTAACTAATCTCTTCCTCCTTTTAAACATCCTTCCTCACAATGTGAAGGTGGTAGACAGTGCAAAAGTCATCGCATATAGCCAAGTCAAGTGCGGGTTCAAAAGCACTCAGTCATCTCCACTTTTAGTTTTGTGCTATTTATACTCTTAAGTGTCTTCAGTTGCTTCATACCTATAGGAACCTGGGAAACCAAAGTGTTGCATGGCCTTAGAAAATAGAGAGTGATTGGAGGGGCAATCTTATCCATTGCCCTGCAATCTCCAGGAATTCACAAGTGCAAAACCAAGCTGTCCAACAGATTGTCAGGAAAATTCCCAAGCATCCTCTGGAAACCCTGTTGGACACTGAAATGGACATAGACCAGGGGTCTTCCAACTTGGCCCTTTTATGACTTGTGGACTTCAACTCCCAGAATTCCTCAGCTAGCATGCCTGGCTGAGGAATTCTAGGAGTTGAAGTTCACAAGTCATAAAAGGACCAAGTTTGAAGACCCCTGACATAGACCATTCGAATAGGACATCCTACCTAACAGAGATCCAGAATACCAAGGATAATACATTTTGACCAGAAAGTGATCTGAGCACAGCAAAAGGGTAGAGTCTGATGGCTGATTTTGAGGTGTTAACATAGAACTTTTTTTGTGGCTGCAGTGGTCCATCCTGATATGGGCCATGAACTTCACAGAAGGGAGAAACTCAGTTTGTATTGCACAGTGACTGCAACTGTCATCGTGCTGTTTAGAATACTTTTCAATAAATAAAGAAAATGTTACTAAACCAAGTTTAAACAGATTAAAACAAAGAAGACAAAGAAAAGAAAAAGTCCTGATTGCAAAGAATAGATCTCCTTTAGATTCTAAGACATATTCAGGTGAGACAGCTGAAGATCAAATGCTATTTCACACAAAATATTCACTGCACAAAAAAAGGGTGGGAAGCAAATCAATGGGATAGAACTTCCAATAATTGTCAAGCATAACACATTTCAACATTGCAATTCTGCTATTTGAACTGTTGGGACTCTATTGGGAGAAAGCAGAACTATTTAACTCGTTTTTTGCATCTGTCTTTACACAAAGGGAAAAAACAAGTCAACCTATCAAAAATAGTGCCATAAAAAACAGTATAGAAACACAAGTTAAGATAGGCAAGAAAATGATAAGTGAGCATCTGTCCAGCCTAGACGAGTTCAAATCACCAGGACCAGATGGATTACACCCCAAGGTTCTCAAGGAACTGGCAGATGGGATCTCAGAACCACTGAACTATATTTTTCAAAGATCTTGGAGCACTGGGGAACTACCAGAGGACTGGAAAAGAGCTGATGTAGTGCCCATCTTCAAAAAAGGGGAAAAAATGGATCCAGGAAATTACAGACCTATCAGCCTGACCTCAATACCTGGGATGATTCTGGAAAAGATAATCAAACAATGAATCAGCGAACATCTAGAGGCAAACAAAATCACTACTAAAAGCCAACATGGGTTTGTCAAAAACAGATGATGCCAGACAAACCTTACTGCATTCTTTGACCAAGTGACAAAATTAGTGGATCAGAGGAATGCTGTGGATATAATTTACTTGGACTTCAGTAAGGCATTTGATAAAGTAGATCACAACCTACTACTCAATAAGATAGAAAAATGTGGGTTAGACAGCATCATCACCAGTTGGATTCGTAGCTGGCTGACCAGCTGTACTCAGTGTGTGGTCCTCAATGGAATTGCATCTACATGGAGGGAAGTGTGTAATGGGGTGCCCCAAGGCTCTGTTCTGGGCTCAGTACTCTTCAACATCTTCATCAACGATTTGGACAAGGGGATAGATGGGGAACTCATCAAATTTGTGGATGATACCAAGCTGGCAGGAATAGCCAACACTCCAGTAGACAGGCTTAAGATACAGGAGGACCTGGACAGACTTGAACACTGGGTGCTATCTAACAAAATGAAATTCAGTGGTGAAAAAAGTAAGGTTCTACATTTAGGCAAGAAAAACCAAATGTACAGGTATAGTATAGGGGGTACCTTGCTCAATAGTAGTAACTGTGAGAGGGATCTCGGAGTCCTGGGGGACGATCACTTAGATATGAGCCAGCAGTGTGCTGCAGCTGCCAAAAAAAGCCAACACAGTGCTAGGCTGCATTAACAGAGGGACAGAATCAAGATCACGTGAAGTATTAATACCACTATACAATGCCTTGGTAAGGCCACACTTGGAATATGGCATCCAGTTTTGGTCACCACGATGTAAAAAAGATGCTGAGACTCTAGAAAGAGTACAGAGAAGAGCAACAAAGACTGGAGGCTAAAACATATAAGGAATGGTTGCTGGAATTGGGTATGTCTAGTTTAACGAAGAGAAGGACGAGGGGGGACATGAGAGCAGTGTTCCAATATCTCAGGGGCTGCCACAAAGAAGAGGGAGTCAAGCTATTTTCCAAGGCGCCTGAAGGCAGGACAAGAAGCAACTGATGGAAACTAATCAAGGAGAGAAGCAACCTAGAACTAAGGAGAAACTTCCTGACAGTTAGAACAATTAACCAGTGGAACAACCTGTCTCTAGAAGCGGTGAATGCTCCAATACTGGAAATCTTTAAGAAGAGACTGGACAGCCATTTGTCCGAAATGGTGTAGGGTTGCCTGCCTAAACAGGGGGTTGGACTCGATGATCTCCAGGGTTTCTTCCAACATCATCATCATCATCATTGTTATTATTATTGGGGAAGGTGCCTCAAGGAGCACTAACGAGAAAGGTCTCTTGAGTGTCAGAAGGGAAAGATGACACATGTTGAGAAGAGCAGTTACCATAGAAAAATGCCAACTTCTGGTAAGGAACCTTAGGGAAGGGAAGAGTGGCCACAACCATAAAATACTGACATCTCAAAGTCAATGCTATGAAGTCTCCCCAAAATAAGTCACAAAGCAGCCGAGCAGAGAAGTTTTAATAAGAAACCATTGTCAAAATGATGCAGTGACTTTCCTATTTGCCTTCAGGTGACAGTTCTTGAAGCCAGTGAATGTGCGGGAGGACGAGTGCAGACTTATCGAAATGACAGAGAAGGCTGGTATGCCAATCTCGGGCCCATGCGTTTACCTGAGAAACACAGGTGAGATATGAGATGATCATGTGTACTTGTCTCTTCTCCCTGCATACTAAGAAGACTGGAGGGTCGTGGAGGTATGTCCCGTAACAACATTGCTATTTTAGACTCTGGGAATGTCAGCCAGCATTAAATTCCACATATTTGTAAGGGTGGTTCAGTGGCTATTTAAAAGTTGGCAGCAGAGCTTACAGCAATTTATACTACATGGACAAACGTGATAAGGAATGGAATGGAGTATCGCTTTGGAGCATTCACAGGGTTGGTTAAGCTAATTTCCTTTAGAACTAAGAGGACAAATTAGGTGGAAACATCTAGCTTGGCTTTCAAAAAAGCTAAGCAGGCCCAACCTGATATTGCTTAGTACTTGGATGGGAGACTACTAGGAAATCCCAAGAGTGTAGGCTCCAGTGAGAAGTCAAAAAAAGTGTCCTAGAAGTCAGGGCAAATAATTGGGAATAAAATAAGTTTAATTTGGATTGGAATCATTCTCTTTGATCTTATCTTTCTTCCAAGTATCTATTCATATGAGAAAAATAAGCCCGAATCATTTTGGTAAGACAATGGTTTGTAAGGGTTTATCAAGCAATTTGAAAATTGTTGCTGTTTTTCTGTGCTGTTTTTTTTCTCTCTTCTCAGTTGGTAGCTCTTTCTTTTCTTTTTTTTTATGGAGGGGGAAAACTGTGTTGAAACTGGAAATTCTGGCTAAATGTGCGCAGTTTTTCTTTCTATGTGTAAAGCAAAGTGAGATAGTGATACTCCAGAAATGATGACAGAATAATTATTTGACCTTTACATTTGCCCCTTAATTCTCTCGATAATCAGATACAATCTTCTGCACAGAACTATACATCATTCTATTTATTTTTTTCTTTCACTGTTTTCTCCTTTTCTCTCCCCAGGATTGTCCGGGAATATATCAGAAAGTTTGGTCTGCAGTTGAATGAATTTTTTCAGGAAAATGAGAATGCATGGTATTTTATCAAAAACATCAGGAAGAGAGTATGGGAAGTCAAGAAAGACCCTGGCGTCTTAAAATATCCAGTGAAGCCTTCAGAAGAAGGCAAAAGCGCTGGACAGCTATATCGAGAGTCCCTCCAAAAGGTTCAGATAAGTCCTAAAATTTATTTTTAGTTAAGAAATTTACACTATGGCTTGTTTCAAGCAGTGAATCATAGAGACAGAAGATTCCAAAAGAACTCTCCAAAACTAGTTTATAATCCAGAGCTGTCCTCAGGGTATGGTCAAAAAAGTCAAGATGGAGGCCATCATAGAGTGATTGAGGTTCTGCCTGTTTTTTAATGTGCAGGGAGGGTTCCCATCTTGACAAAATGATAATTGTTGAATTCTTGATTGCTTTCCTGCAAGTGTTTTGTTATCAGCTTGGGTAACCTGATCTCTGCAAGGGGAGTGTGGAGTTTGTTGGCTGATTATAGATGGTAGTTAGCCCTACCAATCATGGTTGGGATGTGGTTTTTTTCCTTGATAGTTCCTTGATCAGGTTATTGTTTCTTCTTTGCTAAAGTTTATCTGGTCCTGTTTCGGTTTCTCTAGGTTCATTGCTAGGAAAGAATTATTCTGGGCTATTTATTTCACTTAAAATGCATAAACTAAAGTCAAGGAAGGCATAGTCTGTCTTCTTGATTTTGGCCCAACTCCTCTCTCTCAACCCATCCCATTTCACAAGGTGGTTGTGGGAAAATGGGAGTGTTGCATTAAATACCCTGCCTTGAGCTGTACAAAAATAAAGGTAGTATATAAATATAAGAATAAATAAAACTATTAATAAAATAATGATAAATTGGTTCCTATTTTAAAAAAATGCTACACTTGCTAGAATGCATGTATCAGTACTATGTCTTTTTAATAAATCTTGCTCAAGAAAGCTCGGAGAGCTCTTGCTTAAGAATAAACCGTTTTATTTCAGAGCAATTCCTAAAAATCAGCTTTTGAATGTGAAAAGAAAAATGGCCTTCAGAAACTAAGGCCTCTCAGCATCTGGAATTTCTACACCTCTTAAGATTGAAAAGGTTGGGAAACTCTGGTCTAGCCACTCCCTTCATCTGATAGATTTATGCCTTTTAATAAAATATGTCAGTCAGAAATGATGGTATCAGACTCCACCTGATTTTTAACATTAGCCCTAGGTGTTTCTTGACAACACAACCCCATCTACCATTTGAAGGCTTATGTCATCCTAAATACACCCTGAGCAATTGAGAACAATTAAAAAGGCAACTCCTAGACTCATCTCGCTTTTCTGGTCAGAATATTCCTACAACTGCTGGCCAGGCCAATCTCCAAGACTCACAGAGGAAAGTTAAGAGAGTTGACCAGTCAATGCCAATACAATCTGCTCTTTGAACCCTCAGCAGATTAAAAATGATCTGACGTGGATGAAGTTATTCAAGCAGACATCAGGGGTATTTGCGCAGCTCTCAACCCACTTGCTGAATTAACCCATTTTCTGAATGAGTTTCAGTTTGATACATTGAAAAGCAAGTTACCTTAATGAGCTATATTTACATAAATATGGAAAAAAATGAAATATGCCTGAATTTCCCACCTGTATGCATTGGCTCATGTGCAGCAACCATCATAAATGTGCATTGGTTGCTAAGTGTCCAGATCATGATCATGTGATTGCAAGGATGCTGTGGCCAGTATGAGGACCTATTGTAAACCATCTTTACATTTTAGTGACCATTCAAACTTTCACTGTAAGTTTGAATGATCACTAAACGGTGGAATTGTTAACTACAGACTACCTATAATAGCCATGTGGAATCTTTAACCTTTTCTAAGCTTGATTGTTTGCTTGCATCATTATCTGACTAGGTAATATCATCAGTTCTAATGAGTGTGTGGTTTGCTCCCTGTTTATATACAGAACTGTGTCCTGCCAGTATTTGTTCTTGGAATACTGGGTGTTTTGCTTTGTTTAGGATGTTTTGGAGGGCTTTATTTGGCTTATGGCAATGTCATGTGATTGGAACAGTCTTTTGGTTGTTTCTGAGATATTATTAGGGTGTGGTAGTGTTATCCTTTTCACAACCTTTTCACAGTTTATGTCGATTGTGTCAACATTGCTAATGTTGATATTCTTGCTTTGACAAAATATGCAGAACTGTCTGGTATTTTTAGAGTTAACTTAGAAGATACTGGGAGGGGAGGAGAAGGAATGTGTGTAGGGAGTAATTAAGATAAGGAATACTGCAGGTTGCAGAACGGAAGTGAACCTTTGCCCTTCGGGCTGATTGGAGAACGTGATTTATGACAGCAAAATAAGGGAGGGAAAATGCTAGCAAAATAACTGCTCAAGGGAGGAGATTTCAGATCTTGGCATCCCATTCATGGCGTGCCGATATTCTGTTACATGAATAAAGACTTTTTAGGATAAACAACGCTTGGAAGTTCTTTGAAGTGTTCCATTAGTTGGAACCTTGACATCATGCCAAGATCTGCAAACTTTTCAACACATCTGGAGTCCTGAACTCCCCCCCCCCCCTCGCTGTCTCTAGGTTTGAGAGAAGCTGGCAAAGATTCAGGAGAAGATTTTAAAAATGGAGAATGGGAAATTGCCTGAAGCAGACAGCCTGGCATCAGCTGCTACCCTGGGGGGGGGAGTGACAGCCAAGATGCCGGGGAAGGAAAAGCTTTGGCAGAATTCCCGGCTGGAGGAAAACCCCAAGCAGCTAGGAAAGCCTGTTTGGTTGTCAGGCTGGAACCAGCCCAGCGGAGACTCCAGACGCCTGGAGACTGCCTTGCCACCCTCAAAGACTCGCAAACAGCTTCAGAGCTTTTTACGTTTTGCCAACTTCTATCATCAATTGATCCCCCCTTTGCCAAAATTGCCCTACCCCTTATAAAACTACTCAAAACAGGCAAAGGAGGAGGAAAACCACAACCGGGCCAGCCACTTACATGGACTATGAACTGTCAAACAGCTTTTGAGAATTTAAAAAGACTATTTGCTGCTGAACCGGTCCTAAAGCACCCCTGCCCAGAGGAACCCTTTGTAATCCAAGCTGACGCCAGTGACGTGGCAGTCGGAGCTGTATTATTGCAAAAGAACAAAAGTGGAATTCTACAACCCTGTGCCTACACCTCTAAAAAAATTACTGAAAGTGAGAGGAGATTGCCTATCTCCTCTCACTTTCAGTAATTTTTTTAGAGGTGTAGGCACAGATAGGCAATCTGGGAGAAGGAGGCCTTCGCAATTAGGTGGGGGCTGTTAAACTGGCAAGTTGGGGAAAAAGTTTATCTGTCAACTAAATATTTATGCCTCAAATTGCCCAGCAAGAAATTGTGACCAAAATTCTTGGGGCCTTTCCCCATCATAAGAGTCATCAACCCCATCACAGTAGAATTAAAACTCTCTAGGCTTTTAGGGAGGATTCACCCTGTCTTCCATTGTAGCTTGTTAAAACCTTGTCGTGCTCCACTTTAAGATCTCCCCCTAAGAAGGCACCTGGGCCCCTCGTAGTAGCAGGCCAGACTCACTATGAAGTGAAACATATTTTTGACTCTAGAATTTTTAAAGGGAAATTGCAGTACCTAGTACAATGGAAGGGGTACTCATTGTCGAAAGCTACTTGGGTGAAATCTAGTGATGTGAAGGCTGACCGACTCATCAGAAAGTTTCATGAGAAAAACCCCAACAAACGAAGAAATAATCCCTGACATATGCTTTTGTTTACATACAGGACCTATCCTTTTTGTAAGAAGGTCCGGAAGTCAATGCTAATATTGGATATTTTTGCTTTGACAAAATATGCAGAACTGTCTGGTATTTTTAGAGTTAACTTAGATGATGCTGGGAGGGAGGAGAAAGAATGTGTGTAGGGAGTAATTAAGATAAGGAATATACGGGCTGCAGAACAGAAGTGAACCTTTGCCCTTCGGGCTGATTGGAGAACGTGATTTATGACAGCAAAATAAGGGAGGGAAAATGCTAGCAAAATAACTGCTCAAGGGAGGAGATTTCAGATCTTGGCATCCCATTCATGGCCTACCAACATACTGTTACATGAATAAAGACTTTTTAGGATAAACAATGCCTGGAAGTTCTTTGAAGTGTTTCATTAGTCGGAACCTTGACAGGTTGTGCCGTAGTGGATTGAGTGGTCAGGTACTTTTTGATAAAATTGCACAAGTATCCATTTCATTTTCCTGATGTTCAAGGTTGTTGCAGTGTGTTTGTGCTAATCTAAATAGTATTCTTACACAGCTTCTCTTGTGGGAATCACTTGTTTATTATAATAATGGATCACTTGTTTAGTGTAGGTTGTTTTTCAATAGACCTGCATTTTTAATTTGTCATCATTTCCTGTGCAGTTGAGGATATCCAGGAAGGGTAGCATTTTGTTGTTATTGTTCCCCATGTGAATTTTATTCCTTGGAATATGTTGTTGATTGTTTTGTGTGCATTCTCTAGTTGTTCCTTTTTTATTATGAAAAAGCTGTTATCTTCATATTGGATCCATACTTTTGGCTGTATGTATGGGAGTAGCTTAGTTTCAATATAGTGCTATAGTTCTATTATACCATACTGACTTTAATAATTTTTCCCATTTGTCATAAACTTAGTTCTAATCTATACATTATAATACTCTATCAATATTGATTCTGCATTTGTCCTTTTTATGTGTGTCTTTTTTCTTTTGTTTGATGTAATACCTTTTTATTGACAAACACTTGCTTTTCCTTTCTCCTATGTCTCCTTTATCTTTTCCAAATCATTCTCAGGTTGTAGAAGATTTAAAAAGGACTAACTGCAGCTACATACTAAATAAATATGACACCTACACAACGAAGGTATTTGGATTGTGCCTTGAAACCATGTCTCCAAACAGTACAGTTTGTGGCAGGGTGCGGTGGGGTGGAGTAATATTTAAGACATATTGTCATATTCTTCTTAGGGTATTATTAGAATATGAGACAAATTACTTACTGAATCATCTGAGAGTTTCAAATACTAAAATGAGCTGTGATCCAAAGAGCAAGATGGCAGTCAATGACAATGGTGACATTGAAGATCCACCTGTTTTTAATGAGGTTTTTATTTGCACATGCAACACAGTAAAACACAGGTTGGAGGGGTCTCCTTGTCATGCAGGATTCATGGCAATTGACTGTGTCCCCCCTAAAGCCATGCAATGGCCTTCTTAAACAGTATCCAGACCCAACTCAGATAACAGTCAGAGATACTGCCTGTTTGGCCTATTTTTTTTTATTGAAAATTTTTACAGTTTTACAATAAAATTCTCCCCCCCTCCCACCCCCCTCCTTCCCAGAGCTGAATACAGAGTTAGAAAAAACAAGAAAAAACATACAACTTAAATAAACATCAAACAATTAAAAATACATTCAAAAACAGAATTTTAAATACTTTAACTCCAATACATAAAAACAAAACAAAAATTCTAATCATTACCCTTAAACATAAATTATTCAAAAGCTAAATAATACTTTCTAATCTCATATTTCTTCTGTATAAAATTCACCCATTTTTTCCACACCAAAATATATTTCTCTTGCGATTGATCTTTCAGATTAGCCAAAATTTTTGCCATTTCAGATAAATAAGAAACTTTAAGAAACCATTCTTCTAAAGTAGGCAAAGAATCCTTCTTCCAGTATTGCCCTATCAGCAATCTTGCCGCTGTAATTAAATTCAACATTAAAATAATTTCTTTATCATTACAATCAACAATAATACCTAACAAAAACAATTGTGGTGTAAATTTTATCCTTCTGTTAAAAATTTTCTGAATATTCCACCAAATCTTAATCCAAAAAGCCTTTATGTTTTTACATGACCACCAAATATGATAGTACGTTGCATCCAAACAACCACATCTCCAACATTTAGGCTGCAAATTTGGAAACATACGAGACATCTTTTGTGGATCAAGGTGCCACCTATAAAACATTTTATAAAAATGTTCTCGTAAATTTTGAGCTTGAGTAAATTTAACATTCCTCACCCAAATTGTCTCCCATGTATCTAATAAAATCAGCTCATCAAAATTTTGAGCCCACTTAACCATACAATCTTTAACTAATTCTGTTTCTGAATCCAATTCCACTAAAACACTATAAACTCTTTTTATATGAGTAGGTCTTTGATCTTTAATTTGTTTCATCAGATTCTCATCCTCCCTAATCAAACCCACTTTTTGATCTATCCTCCACCTTTCTAATAATTGTCTATACTGAAACCAAGAATAATTAATATTTTCTTGCGCTAATTCATCCGTAGATTTTAATTGCCAATTTTTCCCATCCCAATTAAGCAATTGTTTATAGGAAATACTATCCATTTTCACTCCTATCCTTATTCCTTCTATTGCCTGCCCTGGAATTCCCCACAACGTTATTCTGGAGTCTGATCTATAATATTTCTTCCAAACACCTGTTTGGCCTATTTTAACTTAGTTCTTCGTGGTGAGTAAGAATTTGACACTCCCCAAATCAATCTGAATACTAATTGGACTGATTGCAACATGCTTGCCTGACCGTTGATGATAAATATAGGAAAGCACAATCAAAAAGTTATTAAGGGCATCACAGAAGTACCATATTTTCTTCTTAGGACATACAGATTGCACTACATGCTTAACTTTGTCCTATTCTGCACTCATGCTGATTTAACTCTAAGCTGGCTAACAAGCATTTTGTTTGGACTGAGACACTTGGACTACAGTCTGTAAAGGATTTGGTCTAATGGAGAAGGTGGCCATATTATATTTAATGAACGGGATGAAATGCAATTAGTTCAAACAGCAAGCTACCATGTTGTCCGACTGGACAACGCTTTCTTTCCTGTGGGTAGATCTTAATAGGCATGTACACTTTTATAAGTGTATCATTAAATGTATATGTGCAAAGTTAAAGCACTGAAATGCAGGTATATTCATGAATGCACAACGACAAACTTTAAAATTTGAAATCCCTTCCTATTATAACCTTGCTTGAGATTTTGCCAGGCATTGCTCGTATCATCTCAAGCTTTATCCTTTTTATTGAACATCATGTACAAGTAGTCCTCAACTTACAAGAGTTTGCTTAGTGACCGTTCGAAGTTACAACAGCAGTGAAAAAAGTGATTTATGACTATTTTTCACACTTATGACCATAGCATCTCTGTGCTCATGTGATGAAAATTCAGACACATGGTAACTGACTCATATTTATGACCTTTGCAGTGTCCCAGGGTCATGTAATCACCTTTTGTGACAATCAGTCAATGGGGAAGCCAGATTCATTTAACAACTGCAGTGATTCACTTAACAACTGTGGCAAGAAAGGTCTAAAATGGGGCAAAACTCACCTAACAATTGACTCGCTTAGCAACAGAAAATTTGGGTTCAGTTGTGGTTGTCAGTTGAGGACTACCTGTATATTGCTTTCAACAACATGGAAGTTATTTAAAAGACAGATTATTCCCCTGGAGGTCATTAAGTAGAACAATAACAGAATGATTCTGCTTTGTGCTTAAACCCCTAACTTAACACCTCCTCAAAATTAGAAGAATTTGTCCTATTTGCAGCCCACTGGTTACAATCTGAAATCAAGCTCCTTGCTCTGAAAGGATGTTCTTGGACAATACATTGGAGACAAATGTCAGAATTTCTCTCTCCAAAACAGGAATATCTACTTAAAGAAGGAAATCTGAGTCGTGGAGCTGTAGATATGATTGGAGACTTACTGAATAAAGATTCTGGCTATTATTTGTCTTTTATTGGGAGCCTGAAAAATGATTATGTCTCTTCTGATGAAAAAAGGTAAGCAAACCTGTATCACTTGGATTAAATGACTTCTCAACATTGTCCCATTTTAAAGATGAAATCCCTTGTTTATCCATTGAAGGATCCATGGGAATCTGCAAGGGTCTGGAGATAAAAATCTGCAAGAGGGCAGGCTCATAAAACAGTCAAATCCTCCCCTCATTGGTGTAGGAATGCATACAAACCCTTAACTCTTTGCTGCCAACTAAAATCCTGGCAGCAGCTAGGAAATCTGGCATGGCTAGGTTGGGTATCTGTTAACCCAAACCACAAGCTGGCAATTGAAACCAAATCTAACATAATATTGCAGTTGCAAGAAATGCCAGTTATCAATGATAGTAACATTATCGCTAGATATTAATTTTTATATCAGTTAGAAATGGCATATGAAGATTGCCATTTGTGCGGACTTGTTCTCTATGTAACATCTCCTCTGCTTTAATTAAATCATTAGGTTCACAGTTGCTAGATATTCTTTTTGAAGCATCCTGTAAAAAAAACCTTGGGATTAACGTTCTGGACTATAAAGATAGCATTTCATGTTAAACCATTCTACAAGGGACAAAGCACATTATGCTTTGTATTTCACAGTTAATTCTAAAAAAGTATCAGAATTTTGCAAACTTTGCTTAGCGTTGCAAATATTCACACAGTCAGTTTCTATATCAAGGCTTGTATAGTGTTTGCTTATCCAAGCTATGCACAACTAAATAGGAACTATGTTGTTCATTTCAGCTCAGGTATAAATGTCCCTTTTTACATTCTCCCTCAGCTCAGATTTACGTAGTCATATTTGACAGATATTTCTGAGTAGACAACTTGAGATAATGCCATCTTCTCTTTCAAACATAAAATATTTTTACATAAAATATGTTAAAAATGTAAAATTATTATATCAATGTATATTTTCCTGAGATAAATTTGTATAGATAAAATGATATTGCCAATAATTTTGAAAGGCATTCCTTAATCAAACTTATTTCATATTTCAGATATTTGCTTATCTAAGAATTAAACAAAAGCATTATGGCAGTAATATCTTTTGTTTAATGGCCCTTCCTGATGAGATCCCTGATATGGTATCACTAGATATTGTAACGCTGTAAGCCGCCCAGAGTCACCTCATGGTGAAATGGATGGCAAACAAATCTGATAAGCAAAAACAATAAATAATAGAGAGCGAAGTCAAAATAAGAATAAAGAATGTTTTTTGCTTTCTATCAAATCTGCTGCCAACTTCTTTCCAGAACTGTTTTCATTTCATCATCCTATGGCAAAATGTCTTTTTATTCACTAATATCATTATCCAATTTTAGCAGAGCAGGTTTTTACTTCCTCTGTCCCACTTGGTCTTCCAGATATGATGAAATTGTTGGTGGATTTGATCAGTTGCCTATATCCATGTATCGAGCCATTGAGGAAAAGGTGCATTTCAATGCCCGAGTAATCAAGATACAGCAGAATGCCAAGAAAGTCGCAGTGACATATCAAACCCCAGCAAAGAACTTGTCATATGTGATAGCTGATTATGTCATTGTGTGCTCAACGTCAAGGGCCACCCGTCGCATCAAGTTTGAACCACCCCTTCCGCCAAAGAAAGCGCATGCTTTGCGGTCTGTCCACTTCAAAAGTGGCACCAAGATCTTCCTCACTTGCACTAAGAAATTTTGGGAGGATGATGGCATTCATGGTGGGAAGTCCACAACTGATCTTCCATCCCGATTCATCTACTACCCTAACCATAACTTTACTAGTGGAGTTGGGGTTATTATAGCCTATGTCCTTGGTGATGATGCCAAATTCTTTCAAGCTCTTGATTTCAAGGACTGTGCTGATATTGTCATTAATGACCTTTCATTGATTCATCAGCTGCCCAAGAAAGATATCCAGGCATTCTGTTATCCCTCAATGATTAAAAAATGGAGCCTGGATAAGTATGCTATGGGTTCTATAACCAGCTTCACTCCCTACCAGTTTCAACAATTTAATGAAGTGCTCAGGACACCTGTAGGCAGAATCTTCTTTGCAGGGGAGCATACGGCCCAGTTTCATGGTTGGATAGACGGCACAATTAAGTCAGGGCTGACAGCAGCAAGAGATGTGAATCGTGCTTCTGAGAATCCATCAGGAATCCACTTGAGCAATGACAATGAACTTTAAGGAGGTCAGCAATATTTCAGACTAAAATTCCCAGAATACCAATTGGTAATTCTAGGAGCTATAGTCCGGGGAGGTTGGAGCCAGAAGGAAGTGGGGGAAGTAAGCTGGCTAAATTATCAAAAGTGATCTATATCAGCCAAAACATGTCAAAATATAGGAGAGCATTTTAGAGGAAACAGAAATAAACCACAGAATGAAAAGGATTATTAGCATGCCACCCCAATTTGGAAAGGAAGTCCTCTCAAGACAATCTATATATACTACTAAAACTCTCTTTTCTGTAACATTTTACTGGGCAAAACAGTGCATCATAGGGCAAGAAGTTTTGAACCAAAATACCTCTAATGGGCTACCTTACAAAATGCATCCAAACTCTAGAACCCATGACTTTCCTGGAATTAAAATTTAGCAATTTTTATGAAAGGTTTTATGACATTTGTCTGAAATGGTATAGAGTTTCCTTCTTGAGCAAGAGGTTAGATCAGAAGACCTCCAAGGTCCTTCTCAACTCTGTTATTCTTACAAAAAATATATCATAAAACAGTTTATGTTGTGTTATGTTATATATCATAAAACATTTCCTGGGCTGATGTTTTACTGTGCTGTATAGTTCGCCATGGGCTATTTTCAAGGCAGAAACATCTTTGAACATATCCCAACTTTTCAGGGAAGGTAGCACATTATTTTTGCTCTGCCATTGTTCAGGTGATTGAGGAATCTGGTAAAGAATTATCTCTGAAGTGATGACCAGAAAGTCATGGATTGTCTAGTGTTGCAATAAAGATAGGATCCTTCTGTTGCCCTTTCCAAAAAGTAATGGAAAAGAAACATGCAATTGTTGTTAACGTGGCTTTGTGAGTTTATTTTAAAGGGTCTCATATGTATGACCATATTTCTTTGGGACGTCAAGCATCTAGTGGTCCTAAGCTATGATTCTATATTTCCTATAACCATCAAAAATTGTCAGTACTACAGTGTCACTGATGGAGAAGAAAACACATTATGGCATCAAGCAGGCCTGTAGACAACCTTAATTTGTAATTTATCCAGTTTGCCACCCTCCTCTGACTAGTGTTCCGAAAAACCGGGGATACAGATAATTATAATAAAAGCACATATTATAATTTTTCTGCCTCTTCCATTTGTTTGTTTCTGTCTGCTTTAGCTTCGACCTGGAGATGGAGAAATCCCTGGGATTCTAAACTAGCTAAATCAATCTGGTTTTAAATTAAATTATTAAAATTATTTTTTAAAATTAAAACCACTATAACAAAAATGCAACATGCTTTGCATTTAGAACTGCTAATGAATAGTTTATGGGTGGGAAGAAATCTTAAATGAATGAAGACTACACTCTCAAAAAGATAAAGTTATCTGGTAGTAGTGCATTTTGTCAATTTTCACAATCTAATTGTGCAGACCAACTGTCAGAATTCCCAGGAATGGACAGAAGTGAACAGCCAAAATAGAAGAAGCTACTGTCTCCTTGAAGTTTCTCCACACAATCATGTATCTTCTTGTTAACTTTCAACCACAGAATCATGATGGTGACTGGAATAATCGTTTTTATTGGCACATAAACTTTAGCATATGAACAACTGAGAAATAATTTTGTAGAATTAACCTAACAGTACAGAGACATGAAGAGCTGCTTCATACCAAAGGAACTGCTTTATGAACAGTTCTTTGCCATTCTTCATATGGAAGATCATACAAAATATCTATGAAAATTACAAAGGTAGCCATATAAAAATTCTAATGCAGGGTACTTGTGAATGTAACCCTATACAGGTAGTCCTCGACTTAAGAGCATAACTGAGCTCAAAATGTCTGTTGTTAAGTGAGACATTTGTTAAGTGAGTTTTGCCCCATTTTACAGTCTTTCTTGCCACTGCTGTTAAGTGAATTACCTCAGTTGTTAGTAACCTGGTTGTTAAGTGAATCTGGCTTCCCCATTGACTTGGCTTGTGAGAAGGTCACAAAAGGTGATCACATGACCCCAGGACACTGCAACCGTCATAAATATGAACCAGTTGCCAAGCATCTGAATTTTAATCACACGATCATGGGGATGCTGCAAAGGTCATAACTGTGAACTATTGTAAGTTGAGGACTACCTATATTAGCAGCCCTTGGTTCTTCACATTAGCAAAAAGTCAGTTCTCCCTGAAGTCAATCTCAACTCCTGACGACAATACGGATAGCCCATGTAAATTTTTTAGTAGGTTTATGGAAGAGGTTTACCCCCTTTTTTTCTTAGATTTTTCAGTAGTCTCCCATTCAAACATTCATCAAGTCCCAGCTTTCTTAGCCTGTCTGAGATTAGCCAAGATTGGCTGGGGGCTGCTGTGCCTCATTTGACAGCAACGTGATACATAATTTATTGCCTGGACACCAGCTACTCCATTTTAAAAACTCCCCTCATGTTCTCCTGTCTTTGAATGGCTTGAGTTCAACACGTGGTTAAAAAGAAGTGGACAAACTTTGGACAGCTAATAGTGATCATTCGTTTATTCACTGCAAACGCAGGGACTATGATGAGCAGGCCTCGATAGTCCCATATTACACCTCTGCTTTGTGAGGTTCAGTGGTTGCCAATTTGCTTTCAAGTACAATTAAAGGCGTTGGTTGGTATCTATAAAGTCCTACATGGCCATTTGAGAGACCATTGGTCTCCCTTAGTACTGATCTGGTAGGGCTGGCACACTCCGAGTTTCTTCAATTAATCACCCTGTACAGTAAGATAGTTTGGGGCGAGGAGAGAGAGAGAGAGGGAGGGAGGGAGGGAGGGAGGGAGGGAGGGAGGGAGAGAGAGAGAGAGAGGGAGAGATTGCCCAAAGTGACCCATATACACCAGTGCATTGTTGTTGCCACTTTGCCATGCTGTTTGTAGTCAGTCTGTGTGATCCTGAAGCAGATAATTAGGTGGTCCACCGTTTCATCAACTTCTTTGCAGATTATTAATGTTATTCTTCATGCTTTGGGTGGCTAAAGACTGAATTAACAAATGGCATGAAGATAACTATTATACAGACCAAGTGTTTCAGCAGGTTTAAATTTACTTTAAAAAACTGCTGGCTAGATATCTTTACTAGATATCAAGGTTGATTGTATGTGGGTGGGTGGGAGTAGACACACACAGATATACATATATACATACACATACATTATGAATTGAAGGATGACTCTCAAAAATCTAATAGTTATACATAATTCTGAAATGCTTGTAGGTAAAAATGCTTATATTGGAGCAGAAAAACTAGAACTACTAACCAAGGGGAATTACTGCATTTGTATACTTTTGTTAGATCACCTGCTACAGGAAAAATGCCTGCATTGTATGCAAACCTAGCCATAGATTTAGCTCTCCTTTCTTTTTAGATATTAAGTGGCTATTAAGTACTGTTGCTTTGGTGTTGGATTCTTTATCTTGCTACTTCCTTTTGTGTGGTGAGTTCTGGCAGGAAGGAGTAATAAAATTGTAAAAAATAAATTCTGCTGATAAGGGAAAAGACAATCCATCGTAACCTAGCTGTATAAATTGTATACATTTAACAAATGAACTCTTCAGAAATCTGTTGAAGTAATTATTGATACTTGAAGAGAAAATGGAAAAGCAATTCTTACGTTTCTGAAAACAGCACCTCAGAGAATTACTTCATTTTATAAAACGTAGGTTCGCGCTGGGGGTCTTGAAGGATTATCTCTATTTCATAAAAATATAGCTTTCCAAAATGTATTCCCTGACAGGGAATCGAATCCAGGCCATGGCGGTGAGAATGGTGAAATCTAACCACGAGACCACCAGAGAAGTTATATAATTTTTTTCTTAAAGCTCTTAGCAGGCAATATTGCCATATTTTTAAACCTGCCTTTCAATAAATAGTATCCCTAAAATTCACTATCCCCTAAAACATGATTTTTCAACCTTTTCACCAATTGTACCACTTTTAGGATATGGCAACATCTGAATACCATCAGTCGCCTAGCAAGGTGTCAAAAACTTGATGATCCAAAAAAAAAAGAAAAAAGTGATAAAGTACAGGTAGTCCTTGACTTACAACAGTTCGCTTAGTGACTGTTCAAAGTCACAATGGCACTGAAAAAAGTGCCCCCCAAGCCACAGCCGAGCAAGACACCTGCCTGCCCATCCAGCGGCGCTCTTCCTCCTGTCCGAGGTTTTCATTGTTGTGAGCATTTCTGTTGAGGACTGGCAGCAGGGGTGTGGTGGGTGTGTGTGGTTTTTATTCCCCCCATCTGCTGGGTGGTTGCAGCAGGTTTTGGTCACCTCACATGACCCTGGGACATTGTGACTATCATAAATATGAATCAGTTGCCAAACATCTGAATGTAAATCACAAGACCCTGGAGATGCTGCAACATTCCAGCTGATGGTGCTTCTTCAGGGCTCAACAGGATTAGCGCCGAAGTCCAGCTGGAGCCTGGCACTGATCCTGGCACTTCCACTGAGCTCTGACAGCCCCAAAGAAGCGCCAATCAGCTGGAAAGCAGCACTGATCCTGGTGCTTCCGCTGAGCCCTGACAGCCCTGCAGCTCCAGCCATCTCTCGCTCAGGCTTATGTGGTGCTGCTACCGGTTCAGCTCATTCCCCTCCCCTGCTACCACTTTTCTAGGATGGTCGCGTACCACCTGCCAGGTGCCAATGTACCACAGGTGGTACCCGTACCACTGGTTGAAAAGCCCTGCACTAGACTACCAGAGAAGATATATAAATTTCTTCTTAAAGCTCTTATCAGGCAATATTGCCATTTTTTTAACCTGCCATTCAATAAATAGTATCCCTTTTTATAGCAACATTCCTCTAAAATTCACTATCTCCTAAAACATTTCTTTTATAGTATAAGTACGTAACAAAATAAATTTCTAACCAAGGCCTTGCCGGTTTAATAAATTCACCAGATTAACTACTAACACTGTATCTTTCGTTCTGGGAATATTACGTTAACCTACAAATTAATGGAAAGAGATGCTTTTTTTTATCCATCCAGGAGATTCTTGCTGATTTTTGCGAAGGCGGCTACGTCCATTCCCTCATGGATCGACTGAAAAAAAAATCGATCAGGAAAGACGTGGGCCCTATAGAGGTGGCGATTATCTTTGCCAAATAAGTTTCAAAAGTAAATATTTTTTAGAACCCCCATTTCTCAGTATAACATGTTGAGAGTATTTTAAGACTTGAATTTGTGATTCCCATTTCAAACCTTTCCTATATTTCCTATTCTCATTTTTTTTTTAAAATTATACGTTTATGCCTCAATATGAGAACACCAAAGAGGCCGCCAGAAGGACCACCTGAACGAGTCCATGCCGTCTCTAGGAATCGAGGACACTTTGAAACAGGCTTTTATTTGTAATTAAATTTTAGTCGTCCTGCTCCTATTTATGATCAATCAGCAGTCATCTTTATCTTTCAGCATGAAGTATAGATTTCCAGTAATTAAGGAAGAAAAACCAAACACAATAAATTAAAGCTGCTAAAAGCCCGATTTATTTGGAAGACATGAATAAAGTCACTCGAATCCTGTTGACCAGAAAACCCATACTACAACTCCTTTCTCTCATCTTCTACGTCGGTTTTTCCAGAGCAGCAGTCTCTCTGCTCAGCTGATTCCATTCAACAACAGGGAGTATTTGCTGGCATCACCTTAAATGTGGCATTTGTATTGTCTATGAAGATGATTGAAGATGGGCATCTTAGGCAGTGATGGTTACAGGATTCAGTGGATTTCCTAAGGCAGCAAAATATTTTAAAGTCTCTAAGATATTTTTTAAGGTCTTTCTTTGGTCTTCTCCCTTCGGCTCCCTGCAGGAAAAGGGAGAATGCTTCTCTAAGCACATTCAGTGCTGGTGGGTTCGGCTGAGTGCTTGGCCAGCTCCTTTGTCATGGCTTCCTTCAAGGCAGCTTGCACATCTGTGCCACTGAGGTCGGACAGCTCGTTCTTCTGGCTCAAAGTCTCCACCTCTGTGGCCACATGGTCGTAGACATCGGTCAGCAAGGTCTTCATCAGGCTCCTGGCCTTGGCCTCCATCCTCACCTTGGGCATCTGCCGAAGGACCTTGGAGGCAAACAGCCTTGGGGAGCAGACCCTCTCTGGACCACTGTCC